CCGTGATTTCTCAGATTCTTCTTCGTAAGGCCAACGCACGCTGGCCCTCTCGCCTCTCCACACGTTAGGCAGGTTTCTGTGAGAAATGAGGTGCCGTCTCTTGCCCACACCAGTTCTCTTTATCTCCGAAACAGGATTTTTGTCATGCTTCTAGGAGGTCAAAGATGTGGGCTGTCTTTGGGTCTGGCTCCTTTGTCGTCTTTTTTCTCCTTCGTGAGTGGATTAGTGGTCCGTTGGCTAGTGAGTCCTTCAGCGCTTCCTCAGATTCCCAAATGCGCTTCTTGTGGGCCCCAAAAGGCCGGGATTGCCTGCTCAGGGTATCTAGGGTACATTCCTATTTACATATTTCTTATAATCGCATCATGGTTTTCCCCCTATCTCCTCTCTGTTTTATCATCCTCATAATAACCCTGTGAGAGGTAGGTTAGGCTGAAAGTCGGTGACTGGCCCATCATCCCCCACTGAGCCTCATGGCCCAGAGAGCTTGAACCCCGAACTCCAGTTGCTGTGCGTGTTTAGACAGAAAAACAGTTTTGCAACTTTTTCTGGTCCCAAGCTCTGCAGGTGGACTCTTTCCGGTCCCTACCAATTTTGCCAGTATAAGGAGGTTTCCACCAGCACTAGAGAAAACCCCAACAACTAAACAAGTAGGTTATTAAAGGGGTACTTTTATGCACGGGATCGCTAATGTCTGCTTTGGAGCTTTACAAGCCCTCAAGGGCTTCCTTCTCCACTGGCCGAGCCTCTAAGTCCAGGTTAGCTTTGGGGGAGCCATCTCGCTGTGAGCCCCAAGTTCGTTCTGTGGTATTTGTGACTGCTTGGATCATTTATCCAACCTGGTCCAGTCAGGGCACCTCACTGTAGATGGGATGATACTCAGGAAGGAACGAAACAGCTGTTTATCAAAGACTATAAACAGTTTCCTGAATACCGTGAAGAAATATGGAAGCTGAATATAAACAAGTGAAAGAGAGTTACCTTCCTTCTCTCTGTGGCTGCTTTGGCTGACCCCTTCTACTTCTTTGGCCTCCAAATTTGCCTGCGTGAGCAACTTATCCATTTCTCTCCCCAGGTCAAAAGAGGGAAAAAAATGCCAGTAATTTTGTAAGTTTTCCCTCTCCCACTGCTTCAGAGGGTGGTGGTACACATGGGCTGTTACCTAGGACATGGAGGAATGAAGCTGCTTCAGGAAGGCAAACAGATATCTTCTCACAGCAAAAACAGCTGTTATCTAGAGAATTACTTGGGAAGGCAACTCCAAAGCAATTATTTCCGGAGTTCTTCCTAAAACGCTGGTGTGGCTCCAAGTATCTGCCGTGGCTTTTGGACACCTAGGAAGGCTCACTGCATTACCTGTTGAACTGTTTAACCTCCTTACCTCCTCCTTTGGGTTGGGCCCAGAAAATACACCTGTCTCCGGCTAGGTCTTGACATTACAGAACTAATTCGTTCCCACTCCAGATCTTCATTTGAAGTAGCAACTTGCAATTTGGTATAATAGAGCTAAATTACCTATAAATGGTATTTGGATATAGCAGTTATTTTTGTACCATCCAATAGCTGAAACGCTCAGAGTGGTTCACAAGAATTTAAAATGCAGAATACAGTACAAGAATTTAATTTAAAAAATAGGTAAGGCTACCGTGTAAATTAAAAGTGGTGGAGGTTGACTGAGCTGTAGCAACGGTACAAAGATCTGCAGAGCAGCACAGGATTTAACATCCAGTACGAGATTTTTAAAGCATAGTTTTTAGTTTTTAGTTTTTTTTTTTTTTAACATTTTTATGCTGCCCCATTTGCCGAAGCCTCGGGGCGGCTTACAACAAATAAGTTAAATAACATTTTAAAATATATACATTAAAATAAATTACAAATATACAATATCAAATAAGCCGCCCTGGCCAGAAAAATTCAATAATATTAACATTTAAAATGCTGCTTGAATAAAAAGGTCTTCGCCTGGCGCCGAAAAACAAATAACGACGGCGCCAGGCGGACCTCTCTGGGGAGCGCATTCCATAACTTAGGCACCACCACTGAGAAAGCCCTCCTCCGAGTAACCACCCTCCTAATTTCCTTCACTGAGGGCTCCCGGAGAAGGGCCTCTCCTGCCGATCTCAGGGGGCGGCTGGGCATATATGGATGTAAGCGCTCCTTCAGGTAGCCAGGACCCAAGCTGTTAAGGGCTTTATAGGTCATCACCAACACCTTGAATTGGGCCCGGACTTCAATGGGAAGCCAGTGAAGCCGACGGAGAACTGGAGTCATGTGAACATAACGCCCAGTCCCCGTCAGCAGCCTGGCAGCTCTATTTTGAACCAACTGAAGTATCCGGACTGTCTTCAAGGGTAGCCCCACGTAGAGCACATTACAGAAGTCAAGACGGGAAGTCACCAGCGCATTGAAGGTTGCTAGGAATATATAGCAAGAAGGGGATCAAGCAGCAACCTGGATGGCGGAATTTCTCTCAGCCAGAGACGGTCTCAAGGGGTGGGGTGGGCAGGGCTGAAGGCCAAGTAGATGGAGGCGAACTCCCAAAAGCACCAGCCTGCGTGACCAGGAGATGCTCGCTGCCGGTAGCAAAGGCTTCCCAGCTTGCAGGAATGGAGAGGAAGCGGTGCAGAAGCTGGGGACCTACCCCCTGGCGGGCAGTTTTGGGGAAGATGCAGGGAGAATCGTGGCATAGGCAGAGGAATGCCCAGGGCAGGGGTCGGGAAATGATGCCGTGGTGTCTTTCTTAAATTAAATTAGGATTCCTTGCCGCTTGTACTTGTGAAGTCGGCTTGTATGCATCCACCGCCTTCCATGTATTCTCCACTTACTCAGCGGCTCCAAAGTTTGCCCGTCTGGGTGCATCCCAAATGAGGCTTGTCTCATCGGGGCGGAGAAACGCCCTGCAAATTCCGTGTCGACCCAGCTTTATCTGTCTCCCTGCTCTATTGCGATCCACGCCGCTTTTCTTTTCTTTTCTTTTCTTGACGGCGTTAGCCTCAGCTTTCCACTGGAAAGCCCTGTATTTCATTGTTTGCTGTAAGAAAATTGAATGGGCAGTCCCTGGCATGTCGTTTGTTCGATGCTAACGAGCAGCAGTGAAGGCCCATGATGAAATACCAGTGCGCAGCCAGAAGATTTAAAAAAACCCTCCATACCTAGTGCCTTTTCCTGGAAAAGGGTGCAGAAAATTGGCAGGGTACAAAGATCCGTTAATCCATCTCAATTCCGTGCGCCAAATGCTACCAAAGGAAGGGGGCTGCTGCTTGCGCAACACCTTAGATCAGATGCGCGTTCCAATTTGTTATCTTTAAAAGAATTTCGGCTGTATATATAAGGGTACGGCTTCAGTTCCCTTTATTTATTTTAGAGGGCTTTTCTAAAGAACATTATAAACTCTGACTTGTCTACCCTATATGAAATCCATATGCTAAAGCTTAATTTTAAATGCCATTAAAAAGCACTTAACGTTTACAGTATCTCAGTTCTCGGCTCCCTTCTCGTGCTGCAGTTTGGAAAGCATTTGGGGAGCAAGAGGGAAAACGCGGGCTCCAAAATATCCTTGCAGATGCTTCCCATGTCGGGCTTAAATTAACCTTCCCAATGTACTTTGCTTTTGGGAAGTAGATTTTTAATATTGAAAACAGCCAAACAAAAATAGCGGTTCGGTTGGGCTCTTTCTGTACCGTTTCTCCTTCTTTCGTTCCCTCTCGACGTTTGAATTAGGCTGCGTGTTTGCGAAATGGAAATATGTTACTGTATTTATACAGGTGCTTTACCTGGGCCCAAGGTTAAGAGAAGTGTACAGCTTATGAATGGAAATCAAAGATGGGCATTTTGGTAAACCGACCCCTTTTGAACCTAACTTAATGGCCTGGTAAACACCTGGAATTTTTGCGGGGTGTTTAAAGAGCCTTCTTCTTGGAAGGGCTTCTAAAAGGAGCCCATTTTATGGCCTGCAGCTCCAGTGGTCACAAAATGGCTGCTCACATGACAGCAGCCGCTCACCCCGCAGTCCGGAGGCGAGGTCCCTCTCCATATTTTTTATTCATATAAATCGCTCTTTAGGAGGGCGAACAGAAAAGCAGGCCAGCAGAAGTAGTGCTTTTTTGAGGGGGGGTTGCAGGAGGGTTGAGAAAGATGGTGGGCTTGTTCCTTCCTTCGTTCTGAGGTGCGAAACAGAGGAAACGGCGAAACCCCGAGGGGGAAACCACCCCCATTTCTGCCCAGCTTAGAGGAAGTTAGAGCCACTCCTTACACTCCAAAACTGCTCTGCAGGGATGGCTTCGGACAGCTGAATGCCAGAATTTGCAGAAGTGCAAGGAAATAAAGGGAGGGATTTCCAACAACCCGGTGGGCACGGAATACCGACGGTTGGGAGGGGCCACTCTGCAAACGGGGCTGGCAAGCGACGGAATGGAGTCGCCTGGGGAAGGGTCTGGCTGGCTGCAGCCATGCCTTAGCGCCGTTCGCTCCCCATGGGCTCTGATTCGCCACTGCGGGAAGAGACCCGGTAGACCTTTGGTCTAAGCCAACAGCTTGCTTCTTACGGTACGGTTTGTATGATGTTTTCTTGTGTTTTCGTCTTGTGTTATGAGCCGCCCAGAGGTGCCGTGGCCCAACTGATCGGCATACAAATGTTTTAAATAAATAAACTTGATGCCGTAGACACTCTCCTCTTGGCAATATATTCCATAAATCCATTGGGCAAAGGGCAAATCTCCAGCGTACGGTACCTGCCCTTCAGCATCGCTGCTCATTTCCACGTATCCCTATGGTGCCCCGTCACGTTGGAGGCGGTTCTGCAGAGGATGTGTTGTACTCCCTTTCAGATGTGGCGGCTTCATGTTTGGTATTTATATATGAAGAGCTTCTTGCAGGACGGGGGGTCTGTTCTGACCTGTCCGTACGCCTTCTGCCCAGCCGGTTCTGGGAAATGACTTGAGCATCGTCTGCTCACGGCCAAGCATGGCTACATACTAAGCATCTGTCTCCGTGTTTCCCCTTAGGAGGATGTTTCCGAGCTACAAAGTGAAAGTCACCGGCATGAACCCCAAGACCAAGTACATCCTGTTGATTGATATTGTCCCGGCGGATGACCATCGGTACAAGTTCTGTGACAACAAATGGTATGTGACGAATGATGCGCTTGAGTTGATCTGGTGCGGCTCGAGTTCCAAAGAGCCGTGCGCAGTGTGGACGTCAGTCTCTGGACCTAATGGTGTTTCAGGGCCACCTCATTAGACTGGGATTGTGATTATGTTTTGAAGAAAGCTGGCTGTGCCCCAGATCTGTGTGCCACCAGCCCGTAATTGGGTACCGCGACCCACGACGAAAAGAACAGCACCGTTTCTTCAACAGACGCGTGTTTCTCTCCTCCGCCTCCTGCCTGCTGCTTAAGTGGGCTTGGTGAGCAGGCGCTGGGTTGAAGCAGGCTGTCTGTGAAGAGTGCCAAATCTGGGATAATGCTGGCACTGCTCCGGAGTCTCTGAGTTACTGGGCAAAATCAGTTTTAGTGGCAGGGCTGGTCCTTGGGACTTGAGGCCTTGGACTGTTGAAAGGGGCCTCCAATGTCTTCCCGTCCAACTTGAGGTGCTGGGTTCAACCTGATCCCTCCCATCTCAGCACAGAATCGGACCCAATGAGTTCGAATTTCTCAGAATCTGGCACCAGCTTTTCCCAAGTAGCTTGGAGTCTGGAGAGCTGCATTCCTTCTTTTAAAAAAACCTCTCTGTAATTTTAGGCAAATTGGCTCAAAGAAAAATGCAGAGGACATCCAAAAGCATGCACCTGTAATATGGGGAAACAGTGGAAATCTGCATTTGGGGGCGGGTTTGGGAGGATGTAGGGACCCCTGGACCGAAAGCTCCAGGCTAAACTTTCCTATATTTGCTCTGCTCACAGGATGGTGGCCGGAAAGGCGGAACCTGCCATGCCTGGCCGATTATATGTCCACCCAGACTCACCGGCCACCGGGGCCCATTGGATGCGCCAGCTGGTGTCATTTCAGAAGCTGAAGTTGACCAACAACCATCTGGATCCCTTTGGACATGTAAGAGCCATGTCTAGATGTTGTTGTTGTTGTTTGCACTGTCAAAAGATGCCACTTTCCTTAACGGCAGGCAGGAGTGACCTTTAAAGCAAAACCCAGTTTCTGCTTCCTTGGTATGCGTGTGGCTGCAAGTGTGAAGGTTTCTTTAACACCACATTCCTCGGGGGGGTCCCATTGTGCAGTGTTTGCATTCTGGAGTGTTTCACAAGCTGGTCCACCTCTTGCGCTGCTCAGGGCATGATATGGGGTGGAGATGTGGGTTTTCTTAGTCGCGTGTGCCTGTAGCTGTTGTGGCTGGAAGAGGACAGGATCCAGGATCCGTTCCATGGGATCTGTTCCTGCTGCAAGGTGTTTGTGTGAGGGAAACCTGCAGAGGGCTCAGCTTTGCGTCCCTGAATGCACTGTGAGCCTGTGAGGGAGCTGAAGGAACTGCAACTTTTCCGGATAGTCGGGGGTGTTGTGAACATCGCGATGGTCGGTTTTAGGCGCGAACAACATGTATTCGTGATCGTGGCTTCAGCGTCCTAAAGGGCAGTTCGGCCTTGCCCTGGGAAAATTAGGCAGCCGTTGCATGGAAAAGCGTTTCAGGTTTGGGAAGCTGGAGCAAGAAGAAGCAGGAATACTGGGATGGCTTTTCAGGCTCGAGGTCACGTGTCCTTGTTTGGCCCACCCACCCACCCACCGGGGAAGCAGTGGCGGGGGAAGGATCCTCTGCTGTCCGGGATAAGTGGAAGGCCCTCTTGAGGTCTTCTGGCCCCCCAGCGGGCCACCAGGGCTGCCCCAGCTCAAAGACAGCTCCCCCCACCTGAGGCTGCCCCACGGCTCCTCCTGTAGACACACGGGCCGGGAAGAACCTCGTGCTGGGGCCCACTGAGGAATGGGGACATCAGTGGAAGGACTGGGTAATGACGGGATGAAGAACTTGCCCCCATCCATGGGGGGCAGTGTGTGTGTGAGCCCCCTGCATCCTGGGGGGGTGATTTAAAAGCCACTCGGGACTGCTCGGCTTAGTATTACAGTGTGGGGTGCCCATGATCCTGAGGAAGAGGGGAGGCAGAGCTCAGGGACCCCTGCTGTGGCTGATGGTTACTTGAGTAACCTGCAAGCAACACCCATGCATTGCAACTCGCAAGATTAAGACATTTTGGATTACTTTACGTTCAGCACGTTAAGGGAAGCCGGCGGCTCTCCAGTGGCAGATGCTTCAAGAGGCAGTTATCAGCCTCTAAATTTCAGACATCCTTTTGAGCCATTACTGCTTAAAAGCAAAATCCCTCCTCTTAGGGTAAGACATTAATTTATGTATTTCAAAATCTTACATGCAGAGATAATAAGCCTGACAAAAAAACCCTGATTTATGTGGGTGTCCAGAGGGTGGTTAAGGATATAGCAAGCTTAAGTGTTTTGACAGATTTTGGCTTCTATTTTTTTTCTGTGTCTATTTTTTCTCTTCCTTCCTTTCTTTGGAAGAGGAAAAGGGAAAACCTTTTTTGAAATGTACATGAGTCAGAAATGCTGACACAACCTTAATGTATCCATTAATAATGCCAGGTTTATTTAAGCTGGTATAGATCCAAGCATTGCTGAAAAGCGAGACGCTATTCTTTAAAATGTCACTGGATGGGAATTTCAATTAATACAATTCCACAAATATTGCCTGTAAAGACGGGCTAGCCGTAAAAATACTGCCCTGCAAAACAGGTTTGTACTTGTGGTAAATCAAGGGAAGGCATTTGTAATGTAATTTATCAGAAGTGTGATTATTTTCATTACGAGAGCTCTTTGTGAAAGGGATTCCAGTGTCAGCAAAGGAGCAGAAATGTTTCAGAGAGGCTTTGCCTAATCCAGGGACAGGGCGGCCTGTACACTTCCAGGGCCTCGACTGGAGAAAACTCCCAAAGCTCGGCTTTCCAATACGCGAGGGAGCCGAGGATTCCCGAACGTTCAGCCAAGTTGGGCAGCGCTGAGATCAGGAACTGCTGGCAAGCAGGTGGACGGCTTGGAATAGACCAGCAAGAGTTTCCAGCTCCTGGTTTTCGAACAGCAGCAAAAAGGCTTTCCGGCCATTAGACCAGTGATGGCGGACCTTTGAGAGGCCCAGTGCCCAAACTGCGACCCAAAGCCCACTTATTCATCGCCAAGTGCCAACACTGCAATAAAAACTGGAAACTGAGGTTTTAGATTAGAAAAAACACCTCACAGCCAGTCCAGTATCCTTGGCGGCACACTGACTGGCCATGCGGAAGCTTGTGAGTGGCTTGTGAGTGGCGCCACTACTTTCTGAGCATGCGCATGGCCCCTGTGTGCCCTGTTATCCGATGCTCGAATGCAGGGGCAATGCTGGCGCGACTTGGCTTGCATGCCGACATAGAGGGCTGTGTGTGCTCACTGTGGCATGCATGCCGTAGGTTCGCCACCACTGGCCTAACCCTAATATAGGGGTACACTTCCCCTGATAAGAGGGCGATTTTGAAAAACCCTTCCTAGAGTAGCTTTTTCTGCGCAGCTCATCATTTCTGCCCATCCTAAACACATTCCAACCATCAAAACCGTGCCAGGACACCCCCTTTTCCTAACCCTAACCCTATCCTGGGGCCCACCCTAACCCTAATATAGGGGTATACTTCCCCTGGTAAGAGGGCGATTTTGAAAAACCCTTCCTAGAGTAGCTTTTTCTGCGCAGCTCATCATTTCTGCCCATTCTACACACATTCCAGCCATCAGAATCATGCCAGGACACCCCCTTTTCCTAACCCTAACCCTACCCTGCTGCACACCCCAACCCTAATATAGGGGTATACTTCCCCTGATATGAGGGCGATTTTGAAAAGGCCTTCCTTGAGTAGCTTTTTCTGTGCAGCTCATCATTTCTGCCCATTCTAAACAGCTTCCAACCATCAAAATTATACCAGGACCCCTCATTTTTCTAACCCTAACCCAGTGATGGCGAACCTTTCAGATACCGAGTGCCCAAACTGCAACTCAAAACCCACTTATTTATCGCCAAGTGCCAACACTGCAATAAAACCTGAAAACTGAGGTTTTAGTTTAGAAAAAACACCTCACAGCCAGTCCAAGCAAATATCTTGCCAGCAGCCTGCAAGACCTCCAGTGGTCCGGAAGGCACCTGGCTCCATCCCTCTGGACCACCGATTCTGTCCTGGCTCCAGTGGGAGGAGCCTTGGGGTTCTGGTGAAAAGTCCCAGGTTGATTCCATGCGACAGGTACCTGCCCTTCTCCTGCTGTTGCCCCAGGTTCACTGTCCACCTGCAGGGTAACTGATGTGCTGTCATGCTATGGAAAGACTCTGCCTTTTGCAGGACAGGTGCCCTGAGATTTATTTTTATTTATTTATTTGGAATTTTTGTATGCTGTCCCTTTCGCATAAGCCTCGGGATGGCTTCCAACACCATAAATAAACAATCTTACAAATAAGTACATATAAAATCTGGATACATCCTGGCTAAAAAATTTAAAACCAATAAATAATATTAACAATTATTAAAATATCATTTAAATAAAAAGGTCTTGGCCTGGTGCCGAAAAACAAATTACGACGGCGCCAGGCGGACCTCTCTGGGGAGCGTGTTCCATAAGTTAGTATGCCTGCCTGCCTCTCAAAGGGCAGCATTTGAAAGGGAGCAAATCTGTCGGGTTTCCCTACAGTTGCATTGACTGCAGTCCCCATCATCCCCAGCCAGCCTGGCCATTTTCCTGCCACAGCCGCATCATGATATCCTTGCCAGGATCATACCCTGACTGTTGACAGTGGGGAGAGAGCAGGCACAATAGTCTGCGGCTAACGGTCCTTAGTCGAAGGAATGAGAGAACTGGTCCAGTTCATCTCAGAAGCAGCTCACTTTGCCCCTTTTTCACAGCTTTGTTCCCAGTGTATTTACTTCTTGATGACTGGTAGGCCGCACACACAAACGCTGTGCCTTTCTGTCTCCATCCAGTTCTGCACAATTCATCCCCCACGTACAGGAGGCTCTCCATCCCTCGGCGGCCGTGAAATCGCTCTACTGCCGCAGGGAGGGACGGAGGTGCAAAACTCCGCAGGTTCATTGGGGCAGCTTAAAGAGCAGCGCAGTTTGCACCCTCCGCAAATCTCCCGCCAAGTGGCTCCAACCCAAAACTTCCGAAAGTTTTACAGGTCACAGTTGTACCTTTCGGAGTTTCTGTAAAATCTCCTTTTGGGCTGGAACATCGCTTTCTCTCCATAATGTTGACTCTAGGCAGGCAACTCCGACGGCTGTTTTCCTTTCCCCCGCTTTGCTTCTAAAAGCCCTTATTGTGTTTTGAAGAAAGCACAATGCAAGGGGCAGGCTTGAGGTCGCCTCCTTCAAAGTGGATTAAGGAGCTAAACCCAAGTGGGACCCGGGCGCCTACACTCTCCCCACCGAAATGCTTTGGAACTCCCAGTTTTTGACTACCATTTGCATGTTACAAGAAGCAGGAGAATGGGGCAGTGGAAGTGCAAAATTATAATGTATTTTTACAGTCCATTTGGTGTGGGGGGATGTGGTTTATAGCATTTAATGTGGTGGAGGGTGTGTTTATGGGGGAGTTTAGACAAGGAATAGAAATTTAGCGATGCGATCGCGAAGGAAACTCTGCTCGGAAGCTGAGCATGGCAATATCTGATGGTGCAGGCAAACCCAAAGCCCTGCTTGGAAGTTTCCTGGTGGCGTTCGGCAGGGCGGTGCGGGAAACAGAACCCTGTGGCAGGTGGACCTGATTCAGCAAAGTGGTTCTTATTTAGTACGATAGTTAGAGATGGGACCTGGATGCCCAGAGAGCTGTCTGGGTGAATGGGCGCCACAGAAATAAAGTAAGTCCACGTCCAGGTTCAGGAACCTCTAAGCGAGGCTAAGGAAGAAATCGGGCTTGGATTTCAGGCTTACCCAGGTGGGACCGATATGTGAACTGAAGCAGTCAGACTTCAACTGTTGGCGGTTGTGTGAATATTGTGAGGCAGTTGTCCAGTTTAGAAAACGAGGTACGAAAGGTGCGTATCACGGAGAAGTACACACAAGAATGTGACACAACGTAGAGAAATGCATTGTATTGGGGGACATTGCTTGCAAAACGATGTATATTAGAGAAGAGTGTTTTAAGAGGCTTATGTTAGGAAACTACATGTGAAAACATACAAATGTATTGCAGAGTTACGTGGAATTGGGAAGAAATGAATTTAGGATTGGAAAAACGAGAAACAGTTCAGCCAGAATAGACAGATGGATCCTTCGCTCCCTTCCTCTGTGTATCAGCAGCAAGGGATGGAGCCAATGGGTCAAAATGCTGGAATACATTTAACTTTTAGGTCAGATTCTTCCCGGTGAATCTGCAGCTGATATCCTAGGGATATATTGTCCCCAGACATACACCTTCTGGGTCACAATAGAGTTACTGTTTTTATTTAGTATATTTACCCACCACGCAATAATAAAACACGGTCTGGTGAGTTTCCAGTCGAGGTTCAGGCCAAATAAAACTAAAAACCTCACCTGAAATAGAAGCAGAATAAGACGCAGTGTCGCAACCAAGTGAATGGGTAACGAGGGCGAAACAGCTAAAAGGCTCTCAGCAATTTTTTCGGGCTGGAAGGCCTGGGGTGTGTATTAATCTAGCCACAGGGATCCCTCTGCCTTCCATAATTTGGCGCGGTGGGCGAGGAATCCCTTGGGAGAGGCCCAGTAGCCACTGGTGAGAGGGACTCTTAAACCAGTTTACGTCTGTGGTGTGCAGAAATCCACAGTTACAGACCTGCGTCTGCTCACCGTCGGCCCTTTTATCGTTCCTCACATTCTTTTCCTCCTCCTCCCCCATCATTAGTAGTGGGATTTCGGCTCCCTGTGGGTAGGACCCACTTTCCTTTGGGGCTTAAGCTTACTCTGGAAAGTATTGTTCGCCTTTTTTTTTTTTTGGATTTATATCCTGCCTTTTTCCTACAAAGGGCTCAAGGCAGCTTACATCATTCTCCTCCTGCATCTTATCCTCACAACAACAGCCCTGTGAGGTAGGTTGGGCTGAGAGTCTGTGACTGGCCCAAAGTCACCCAGTTGGTTCCATGGCCGAGCGGGGACTAGAACCCAGTCCCCTGCTCTTAACCACTACGCCACACTGCCTTGATGGTGACACATAAACCCTTCCCTCTAAGAGCAGATTCGGGTGGTGGGTGCCAGCAGAAATGGAGCTAAAATGAGGCCCGTGAAAAACACGAGACAAACGGGCCACACAGAACCGTTTTTAGCACCCAAAGGGTGAGGGTGCTTAGTGCTGAGGAGTAAGAATGGCAAAGGACTAAAATGGCAGGTCGGGGAAATAAAGGGGCTTGTCAGAACTTTAGCACATCAGAGAAGTGGGAGCACCTATGTAAAAAAAGGGGAGACACGGGAGCAATTTGCTGTCGGTCAAGAGGGCCATCCGGCGTGAATCTCTCGTTTCAGTGTCTGGACTTTCAGAAACAGAACAGAGTTACAATTAATTGCCACAGTTCACGCTTTCAGAGTCAGTTTTAACGTGGCCAAGTCCTGGCTTCCGTGGGCTGTTTGCAGCGATTTCCAGGGGATGGATTCTCCTGACACCGAGGGGCAAGCCGAGAGAAAGGTGTCTCAGGACCAGCCGCAGCACCGTCGCCTGCACCCTGCCGCCAGCCAGCCGCCAAAGAGTTAAAAGAAGCCCTGCTTGAGGCTGATAAAATGCCAGCTTCTCATTTCTCCTGCCGAGAAGGCGGGGTGGGGTGGGGGGAGACCCTGATCTGGAAAATGTCATCAATAAAAACTGCATTTAAAGAGTAAATGATGCACCCGGGCTACCGTGGGCAGTTGGACGCAGTCGGATGAAAAGGCCCTTTAAAGCACCGATCCCGCTCAAACGGCGCTGCCTTTTGCATCTAGGAAAGAAAGGGCTTGAGGCCGGCCAGCCTCCCAGCCGCGGTATTTAGGGGTGTGAGCGTGGCCGGACAGAAAGGGAAGAGCAGGCTGGAAGGGTTGCCGGATTGGGCCCCGCCAGTGTCCGAGGATTCGTCCCTGCACACACACCCAAAACAAAACGCTGAGTGCGAAATCTAGGCGGTCCGTCCGGTCAGAATGTGCACCATCTAGTTTTTCCCAGACCACGACTTCCATTATCCTCATTCGGCATGGCCACTGGGAGAAGCTTACTTGTGGGCTCTTATCCACGCTGCGCGCTTGTCTACGTGACCCCCTGCAAGCCGACGCTGCCCCATTTCTGGGTTATTCTGCCAGATGATAATTCGCAATTCAGTTTTTCCCTCCAGCAAAGCGTACTTACTAGTCGGTGCCAATTTCCCTCAAAGCATGCATTTTTGTATAGGTTTTTATCCTATTGTTCAAGCTAAGAAATGCATCAGATCGTTCACAAGGGCGCCTTTGACAGGACTTCCTGCACTGTGCTTCCGCAGCTCCAGTGCCCCGGATTTTAAGCTGCCTCCACCAAAATGTTTCCACTGGAGTTACCGCATCCAAGCGGTGGTCACTAAACACTTGAGCAGCTTATATGTGCAAAGCAATAGACTGGTCGGGAAAATTAATTCTGTTCATATTGTAATGCACATGTGCGTAATTAGTACTTGCAGGCCAATCCATGAACTGACCTTCAAAATTTGCATTTTTCAGAATTTTAAAGCCGGGTTGTCCAACCAAAAACTGTGCCTGTTAGTGACAAGAAAGATACGACTATATTGTATTGAGGAAAGGGTTTGCAAAAGAGTGTGTAGAAAGCCAAACGGAGTATGAATTTTCATGCTTTTTTATAAGAAAAATCTCAGAATGAACTGAATTTCTATTGGGAAAATGTCCACTACAGAGGGGAGGAATTGTTTGCTCCCCTTTGTGTGGCCAGAAGCTAATGCGCAAGCTTTTACTCATGCGCATGCATCACGCATGGAGAACTTGACTGGATCGAAGGGTGGAATATATGTGTTCTGGAGAGAAAGGGTCCTTCGCACTGGCTGGAAACACCTTCTGCCAGATAAGCTTCCAAGGTATACAAAGCGGAACATTTCTTGCAGCATCCATTTCCAAAGTTGTATTTTAAAACGGTATTACTATCACCAGTTACAGCAACAGCAATGCTTTGCATCCAGTCTGAAGCGTTCCCAACCGCTGGCTTGAATTCCAGCACTTGGAGAGTCCATTCTCTCCCTAGGCAGTTGGTTCCGTTGTCTCACTGCTGTGTCGGAAACTGTGTGTGTGTGTTCAACAAAAATCAGTTGTCCTGAGACTGAAGCGGTTGTTTTGTGTCTTGGTTGATGGAGACAGGTTGCAGCTCCTTTTCTGAGGGACCGTTCCTATAGGTACTTGGAAAACCTCCATCTTGACCTACCAGAGTCGAACATAACACTGTTCTGTCACTCTTTCCTTGTAGTGACTAGTTTCTAGTCTGCTGATAAATTTTGTTTTCTCTGAACGTGTTCCAGTTTGTTTGCATCTGTCTTTAAACATAGGTGTGTCTTTCCTTCTCGCAGATTATTCTCAACTCGATGCACAAATACCAGCCAAGACTACACATTGTCAAAGCGGATGAAAACAATGCGTTTGGCTCCAAGAACACGGCTTTCTGCACCCACGTATTTCCAGAAACTTCCTTCATATCCGTGACGTCGTACCAGAATCACAAGGTATGTGGCATTCTGCATCCTGTGCCTATTTTGTTATTTTAATTTAGGGATGATCAGAAGGCATAAGTCACGATTCTACCGGGTAAACGGCTCCTCAGAGAAGCCTACAAAATAGGCTAGATTTGGTCCTTGCCATCTGTTAAAAGCAGTGATGGCTCACTTTGCCTAGCTTGAACTATAACTCATAATTGGGCAAAAAATTGTGAGTTTTCTACACCTCCCTCCAGTGCCCTCCAACTAAGCCATGGTGCCCATCTACACATCTTGTAGCTGTTGCATTGAGAAATTAATTATGCATTGTCCAAAGAAGCGCCTTCCTTTTTTCTGCCCTGCAGCTATTCTAACACACCGGGTGACCCAGTATTCTCCTGGGATGCCCAAATTCCACACCGGTCCTGCCCGTTTATGTGTCTGTCTTCACAAAATCAGGATTCTAGGTACCAGAGTGACATGTGCCACTTGCAGGCTTTTCAGGGTTTGAAATTAAAGGCGCCACCACACTCGGAACGGTCATGGAAAGGGTTTCCCTGGGTGTGGGAAGCGCCATGATCCAAGGAGCTAAAAGGGTTGAAAGTCAGCTTCAGTGAGTGACCCAGGATTCTGGTATGGTGAGAAACGCTGCACGATCCCACGGTGCTGGAAAGCGGGGCCAGCCGCAAGGAGCTGGCTTGGCAGTAGTCTTAGGAGTGGCCAGAGCTGAGCATGTCTTCCCAGAAATCCCAGAAGGAGAGCCATGGTAAGTCTGTTGGGGCAAAAGCGGCAGTGAGCCTTGCGGGGCCACCAAGGTGACCACATCTGCCCTGGTGCAAGTTTTCACCCTTCCAGTTGGGCGCTAGAGCTGTTGGCCCTGCTGGGGTGGGTCGTGTGCACCCCCACAAGGTGTGTGTCTCAAGATGCCACAAGCTCTCGCCATCCGTCTCTCAAGGGGTGAGCTCTGGGCAGCTTTGCCCAGCCAGAGGTGCCGGGCGACATCTTCCTGGGGATTCTGGGAGCTGTAGTCCAGCACCTCTGGAGAGTAATTTCTGGGGAACTTTGTGGTCCGAAGTGGCTGTTAGCGAAGTGGAAAGCCCTGCAGGGACGGCAGGTGCCAGAAGCTCTGGGCGCTCTGCGTGGGGGGACGGATCGCTCACGAGGCTGCAGGACGGCCCTTCACCTGATCTAGAAAGGCGGCCGTTCCGTTTGGCAAGGTGGTGATCTATTGGAGGTAGGCTGTGAATCAACACACACACACAGGTCCTGCTTGATTTTGCCAAAGCCCAGAGGATACGGCTTGGGAGAGGAAGGAAAGCGGACTGGGCTTTAAGTTTTTTCAAAACGAATCTTGGCAGTCGCGGTGGCGAGCCCGGTAACTAATGAATCAAAGACCATAAACTCTCGGATGTCATTCAAAACAGCAAGCAAACGTAATAATGACTGGTAAAGCCGAGCCATAAATCCACAGTGAAAAGTAATTACAGTATATGTATTTAGAGAGACATACAAGGAATGTTACTATAAAAGCAGAGCTAAGGGCCTGACTTGTGGTCAGAACGAGGAGGAAAAAGGGATTTTTGGAGTGGGCGTGAGAGAGAGAATTGGAGGGGTGAGAATACACAGGACAGGTTTCAGCTCTTGTCTTGTACTGGATTTACACACGTTTCTGTGAAGGTTCGGTCTGATTGGATGCATGTGACAAACCTGGGGTCTGGACTGACAGCACTATCAAGAATTTATGAACCGAATCACAGTCTGTGTGGGGATAAGTGAACCTCAGGCTTGTGAGAGCAATTTTGGGGACGGTAGGATTGGACCCTAAGATCTACCAACGAAATGCAAAACGCTGGCTCAGGGACTCTGCCATACATGTAGGATTAAGGACGAGGCCTTCAGCCCTATTTGCAGCCTGTGAATTTGTTTTCAGTACTGAAACCCTTGGAATCCTTTCTCCCCACCGGCCCTCAACAATTCCGGGTTTTGCTCCAAGTGTTACTGGTTTCACTGGCCTACTTTAAGGATAGGTATTCCTTTTATTTGCACTGTTAAACAACTGGGAGTCGGAAACTCTCGCCCATCTGCGCTTGGCTCTGCCTCCTGCTGGCCAGCTGCAAAATGAACGGGCACACAGGTTTGTGGCGGGCATCTTGGGGAAAAGTGCCTGCAGAACCGCACGCGATTCGCTTCACAGAAGAAAATATGGGAACTGCCGGGACTGTCTCCCCACAAACTGCTGCTCTTGGTATAAAAGCAAAGGTGGGTTTCCTTCCGTGCGTCGGCAAGCACAACCTTCTAGCACAGATTTCATGCAGGAAGTGGCGGAGGGGGGATACATAAAGAGGAAGGGAAACCGGATGGCGTACAGAAAGGCAGGAGTACCAAGGAACATTCATTCCTGCATGGTCTTTAACTTGTGTAACCCATGGCAAAGTTGTCAGACGTAAAATGAAGCTATCCAGAAGCGGCTTTGTCTTGAGGGCCTTTATTGAGAGAGATCACCTTGAGGTCCCACTTAAAATGTCAGTATTATGGAGAGGGTCATATTTCTACACAAATGACCCAGAGACATGCTGGTTTCTCAGCGCTCGGCTTCAAAGCTCCCTTCTCTGCATCTCTGTTTGCAAACGGGGAAGTTTGTCGACTTTGGGGCTGAGGGAGTCTTGATTTCATTTCATAATTAACTACTGTTTTGGTAGCATGAGCAGCATTGACAAAATGAAACGGAGGGGGGAAAAGCTTGGCAAAATTGTGGCTTTTTGTTGATAGCGTTGTTGATTTTAGTGAGTTTTTAAACTACCTTTCACGACAAATGATCCTCCCGAGGCAATTCATAATGGCCAGGTAAACAATAGAATAAAATTTCACAAAAACAGCAGCGTTAGAATATTGAAATAACAGCAGTGCACCAACATTAAAATAGCAGCAGCTGATAAAAGGTTTGGCACCGAAAAGCCTTTGGAAGCCGACTGGAATGACTCCAAAAGGCCAGCAAGAGGACGACGAAACGTGTTTCCTTGGGATGATACTACGGGGTTCCCCTGGCATGGCCTTGTCCCTTGGACAAGTACCTGTGAGCATGTAGGAGGTACTTAGCCTGGCCCAACCATTCGGGCTTCAGACATTCCTACCTGCGCTATCAGGTGTGCTCAGGTGCGGAAAGCTGGGCAGTGATGCTTGAGCTGATGGAGAACAAGGCCCTGGACAGACAGAGAGGTCTCCAACTGGGAGGTGGAATCCAGGTCTCTCAGGCTGGGATTCTGCTCTGTGCTTCCCCGTGGGGCTTTGACTTGGGCCCTCGCAAGGCCCGCTCCTTGATACCACAGTCAAGATGGCAGATTTGGTGTCACGCCTGGCCCTGCCCGGAGATGTTCTCCGTTGGCCATGGCATCCGTTGGCTGTTTGCCTCGTTTGCCCCCCGCGATTGGCAAACTCCATTTATGCAGGGAAGCTGCAGGGCTGGCCTAGCACGGCCCCCGCTGATTTAATGCCCTTCGTTACGCATTGCTGTGTCGTGCTTGCATGCATTTCCACGCAGATGGGGGGACCAGAAGGTGAGGTTAAAATTTGTACAGCCACATCCCCCCCTCGCTATCTTTCCATCTATTCTGCCCCCACCTGGAAAACAATATTGTTGGATGAAATTTAAGGGGCAGAAGAGAACGAGCTCATCAGATGAGCACTGTCTGTTTGGCAAGGCGAAAGGCAGCTGCAGGAGAGAGGTGTCCGTGAGGAGCAGGCGGCTGCCCAAACGGGGACCAGCAAAGCTTCGCGAGGCAAGACGGGCCGTGCGAGGCTTCGTGTCCTTGCCCCCCGTGCTTCCACCACAGGCGCGACGCAGCCGAGCGAGCTCATGGATACCGGCGGTTGCTTTTTGCTTTCTCTTCCGCCCGACCTGTCCAGTCGCACAGTCCTGTGCCTCAGCAGTAGCACTGTGCGGTGTTTCTGCACACAGCAGGTTTGCTCTTCAGTAGGTGGAAGCGTTTGACTTAGAAATGTTTGAGAATAGAAGTGCTGCCATCGCCCATCTTTAAGCAGAGCTGCTAAAATTCCTGCTCGTGCGGTCGTGTATGCTTGTGCCGGGCCTTTGACTTCTCCACAATTCGATGTGTTACAGCCTGCAATCAAAGGGGATTTGATTGGCATTGTTCCTGCTGCAACAGAATGCTCGGAATGTACGCTGGGCCTGTTGGCATATCCCCCCAAGACATTCTGCTGCTTCGGATCGGTGCGGGATTAGTTTTGGCTGGCAGGGCATGAAACCTGTGCAGAGGTCTTGAGTTAAGCTAGACTGGGCCGTGGCTGTTCATTCACCCTTTTCGAAGCGGCTCATCCAAATGGCTGAGTGTATTATTTTGACATCAGGCATGCTGGCATTACCGAGCCACAAGCAAGCCGCTGATTCCTAAGGCGCGTGTTCAAATAAAAACCAGCTCTGCGGAAAGCCAGCCAGAGACACGCCCTGCAAATCTTGGTTGCAGAGTTCAAGTTGCAGGCGTAAGCATTATGGCCTCAGCATGGTTAACCAGAGGCTCTGGCGAGGCTTCTTGCGTATTCCACCCAGAGCGCCGGGGCACGTTGGCCAGAGGAGCCCCGAGTGAGAAACGCAAGTGCCTGTTCTTGGAGCGCACTTGTTTGGGGTGGAGGACCATGCCTGACAAAGGGGCAGGAAGCGAAGGGGATCAAGGGAGGGGGAAGCAAAGGGGTTTGGTGACCCACGTGCCTGAATCGGCCCAGGGCTCCTTCAGAGGCTGCCAGAGCCCCGTTGCAGAAGTAGGGCTGTCCCTCAAAAACTAAGAGGGGCCTGACGACACCCTCCGGACTCACCCACTTTGTCTCCTCCTCTTGCAAGATAACCCAGCTGAAGATCGAGAACAACCCCTTCGCCAAGGGCTTCCGGGGCAGCGACGACAGCGACCTGCGTGTGGCGCGGCTGCAAAGGTGGGCATGCGCAGTGCGGGGGGCCGGCCCCAGCCCCCTTCGGCTGCTTTGCAGCTGCTGCCTCTGACGGGTGGCGTTTATTTTATGCCTGGGAAGCAGCTGGCACGGGGCACGTTCCTCTCCGCCAGCAGGATCCCTTCCTTTGCCGTTTTGGGAATGGAGGAACCCCACCCAGGGGTCCTTCTGTTGGCTCCGGCACCCTCCCTCTTGCTGGTGACCTCTCCCGACTGCCCCAAAATGCCTGTGGGAGGCACAGTGGGATGGCACAGGGCTTGCTGGGTGGGCACAGGCAGCAGTGACACGGGCAGACTTGTCTTCGGGACCCCAGAGAAGTAGCTGAGAAGTACCCCCCCCCCCAGTTCCCTGCCACTTTCGTTTCTGCTTTGGGCTGACTTCTGAGGGATGAATTTTCAAAGGCACCCCTGCAACCCACTGTCGCCTGCCCTTCCACCACTCCGTAACCAGTTCCTCTCTGCCTGCAGCAAGGAGTACCCAGTGATCTCCAAGACCATCATGCGGCAGAGGCTGGTGCCGACGCACGGGCAGCTCTCGGCCAAGGCGGACGTCAGCCCGCTGCACAGCAGCCACCAGGGCCTCCAGCACTACCAGTACGAGAACGGCACCCACGTGCAGTTCGCCGGCTCGGAGGCACAGGAGCTGCCCCTCAACACCTTCACAGCTCAACGGGAGTCGGGGCTCTTCTACCACTGCCTGAAGCGGCGAGGTAAGGGCGCCCGGCGGGCAGGCGAGCACCGGGAAGGGAGCCCCGAGTAGCAGGGGGGCTTCCGGCCACGTCCCAAAGGGTCTTGTACAAGGCCTTGGGGCCTACAGGGATGGCAGCCTGAGTGGGAACTTCTCTCCTTCCTTTTGAAAATTGCTTTGGCCTTGCTCTGTGTAACTAGCAGCTCAAGAGTGACGATTTATTTATATTGTATGAATGGGGGCTTCATGCCACGTTTTTAGGCGGGCCAGTCTGGTAAGTACACACCCACGTTAGTTGTGAAAGGTTGCCACCCCAAGCTTACCTGCTAGGAAATAATCCCTACCGAACGCCCTGGAGTGTTCTTTTGGGCAAGCAGGGCTGGGATTGTACTGCTGGAGCCTTGTCAGGGAGAGGAGAGGAAACGGGGGACAGCAGAGCTTGGAAGGACAAGCGCAAGCGAATCACTCGATGCATCATCATCATCATCATCATCATCATCATCATCATTATTATTATTATTATTATTATAACATTTCTATGCCGCCCCTTGCCGAAACCTCGGGGCGGCTTACAACATGATAAAATACATTGAAATACAATAGTACTTAATAAATTACCATTAAATATAAAAATACAAAAAAATACATTGATTTACAAATACAAAATTAAAATTATCTGTATAAGATAAAAATATAGGAGGAGAAAGAGAAGGAAGAAGAAGTTGCCCCGGCCAGATCATATGTTTTAACAATTGAAATGATGTTTAAATAAAAAGGTCTTTACCATGCTTAGCAGACACACATTTTAATGAATATAATTTATTTATTATAAATTGTATTTAATGAATATAATTTATATTTCTGATAGACATTCTCTGGGGGACTCAGTATATTAAGCAGGGTTTTTCAGCTCAGGAAACCCTTCCGCGGCAGATGCTCCATGCAGAACGGAGACCTTTCTCTGCGCTCGGAGCAGTTCTTTGCCAGTTGCCAGAACACGCCCTTCGCTTTATCTTGCGAGGTTTCTGTGGCTTTTTGACACGAGGTCCTGGCTTATGTAGAGACACTGGGGAGTCAGGGAGCGCTCACAGTTAAGTCACTCGGGGACTCCTTGAACTTGGCAAAAGCCACACTGCAAAAGCGTCGCAGGCAGCTGGCGATCGAGATGGATGGGAAGGAATCGGGATGACTCAAAGGAGTAGGCGAAGCCACTGGCGCTTTCTGTGGGTAAAGCAAAGCCAAGCTCGATCGTCTCAGTTGGACACTGGCAACACCCTTTTTATTAGTAAGGAATATCTTTCTGAAAGAGTGATAAATGCTGTAACCATGTTAATGGGAAGGAAGGAAAAAGTGATCCTGCAGCTTTTCAAACTGCTTAATCCAGGCAGAGCAGCGAACGGCCTGATCTTACAGAGAATTAGGTAAGTCTAAGTCCCTTGAAATCAAGCCTTAGCCACACCTAGTTCTGCGGAGAGCAAGATATAAGACCAAGAGGCTGGAATAGTGTTTGTTGAGCTGGTGGTGGGAGGGGAGTAGTGATATCCCCAGTTTTAAAATGTTTGCAAGGATCCCAGAAAAGACAGTTTGGACGGCTGTTCACCACATCTCTTGTGGGTCAGAGAGGAAGCAGGAGGTCTCAACCAGAACTGAAGCGGTAGAGCGTCTCCTTCCAAAGAAGTCTTCCTCTCTGGCCATTTCATGCACAAGGGGTGTTCTAGCGGGCACACTCGGTCTACTCCGAGCCTGCAGAAAAGGCCTGCTGTCGCGGCCATCTAGCATCAGCTTTCCCCAACCTGGGTCCCTCTGCAGGTGTCCGACCACACTTCCCATGATCCTCAGCCGCCATCCCTCAGCCCACTTTAGACGGCTGTACTTAGAATTGTGCTGCAGGGGTCAGGTAAGGCTCGTCAGGATGGTGGGGTCTGCTCAGCACGTACCTGCCATTCCGTGCGATCACAGCCCTCTCCCTGTCTCTGGAAGGCACAGACACCCCTCTGGAATGACCGCCGCTCATCCGTTGATGGCCACAGAAATTGTACAGCTCTGTTATTTTAGCATGGCCACTGTTGTTGTTGCAGTAGTTTTTGTCGTCAGAAGTTTGCAAGTGACAAACTTGCAAAATAAATTTGTGACGTGTGTGAGGTGACAATACTGCACAGAGGGCCATTTGTGGGCCGTTTCCCGGGTCCCATTAGCGAAAGTCAGCTGAAAATCAGCATTAAAGGGGGGAAAGCAGCTGGTGCTGGTGCAGTTTTATCTTTGTTAGCTTCCAATGTCCCTATATTTTTGCTTTTGTTTTTTGAAGGGTCAGGGAACTCCATTAACCACAGCAGTCAACGCTCTAGGAAGGAGCCACAGGAAGGTGGGAGGTGGAATTAGTATCGCCCTTTCCTGGACTAGTTGGCGATTTGGGGAAGTGTTGAAAAGGTGAAGGACAGTAAGGAATGTCACAGCACAGCACTTCAAAAAGAGAGGACTGCATTGCGAAGTGAGAGATGGCGGCCCTGAGCCTGCCCCCTTCTTGTTACCCCGTTTCCTTGCTCCCTTTGATAGCTGCAATCAGAGGGAAACAAGATACTATCCATATTTGACAGCCATTACGGGTTTACTTGGAAAAGACCAAGAAATCGTGGTAATTATGAGCACAGCCGTGCGATTTTTAGGGGCTGAAGACTTTAAAATCTTTCTGAGGTGTTGGAGGGTGGGGGGTAGGAGGAGGGAGGCAAGATGGGCCCAGGATATGTGCCAGGGACCATGAGAAGACTAAGCAGGGAAGAAGGGGGGGGAGAGTCCACGGAGGGCCTGGCGGGCAGTGCTTCAGAGCGTCTTCGCTTAGTGTGACCTGAGACCTGGTCTAATGTGTCGCCTTCACCTCCGAAAGTCTTTGGGTGATGCTGGAAGGTACCTTAGTGGCCATGAGGAAGAAAGTAAGGCTGCTTACCTTCCCGAATGTCCTTTGCGTGGCCGTCGGTGCATTCATGCAGGCCCTGTGCGTGTGCGTGTTGCACAGCGACCACAAAGAAGACCCTCTCTATCCATACCTGGAATTAAACCATGCCGTCCGTACGGCTTGCCCGGCTTGCTTCCAGACATTCCCCAGGGGCCGCAAGGGCTAGCAACGTAACATAATGGTTTGCGTTGGGAGAGAACTGGGGGTTTGCTGGGAGCCCACAGTCACCCTGAATGCCTGCCGTTCCCGTTTTCCAAAGTGCTGATGCAGCGATTGCAGCTGGAGACGCCTCGGGCGAATGAGGCCGCCCGCCCTGTCTTAACGCACCTCTCGGTTTTGTCCCCGGCTACAGAGGGTGCCCGGCACCTGGAGCTCCCCTGCAAGCGCTCCTATCTCGAGGCGTCCTCGTCCGTGGGGGAAGAGCACTATTTCCGCTCGCCGCCGCCGTACGAGCAGCCGATGCTGAGCCCCTCCTACTGCGGGGACGTGGCGCCGCGGGAGGCCTGCATGTACTCGGGCTCGGGCGCCGAGATCGCCAGCGTCTCCTCGGTGGAGGACCTGCCGCCGCCCCCGCCGCTCAGCTGCAACATGTGGACTTCCGTTGCGCCGTACACCAGCTACAGCGTCCAGACGATGGAGACGGTGCCGTACCAGCCGTTCCCCGCGCACTTCACCGCCACAACCATGATGCCTCGCCTGCCCACCATCGCCAACCAGAGCTCCCAGCCCCCGGCCAGCAGCCCCTTCACGGTGTACAACCAGCTCTCGCAGTCTCAGGTCCGGGAGAGGGTCCCCGCGTCCTCCTTCCCGCGGGAGAGGGTGCACCCGGCCGTGTGCGAGAGGAAGGTCCCGTCCCCCCACATAAGCTCCGCCAACGAGTTTTTGTACTCCCAGACCTTCTCGCTGTCCAGGGAATCGACTTTACAGTACCACTCCGGCATGGGGACCGTGGACAACTGGGCGGATGGATGACTGGCTGCGGGGCGAGGGACACACTGGCCGAGGCCGGACTCGCCGCCTGGGGCCAGGCCGACTCCGTGTTAATCCCTGTGGGTTACTTGCACTTCCCCGGCGCCCACGGAAACCGGCGATTCCCTGGGCCTTTGCGTCGCCGAAAAGCTCGCTCGCCCGCTTTCCGTTGGACCCCAAGGTGGGAGGGGGGGACAGTCCAGTTCCGTGCACAGGCCCCTGGGCTCAATGGCTTGGATCCACCCGCTGCTTTTGTCCCGTCTCCTGTTGGTCCCCCAAACAACCCGAAAACAAGCAAGCCAGCCCTGCACCAGAACCTCCCCCATTTCGTTCAAGCAGGGCACCCTGCTATGTCCTGGCATTGTGTAGATGTCTTACAGGGAACAAAGTCACACTGCGAGGGTGGGCCCCAGCCACAGTTGGGCCAAAGCTGGCCCTGATGGAGGAGGAGACGGAAGGGGCCTCTCGCGATGCCCCCGTTTCGATTCAGTGCCAACAGCTCCCTCTTGGCAAACCGAAGCGCAGGATTCTTCTCTGAGAAGCAGCCCGGGGCAGCTCTGAGCCTTGCACGGAGGCGGAGGGCGGGCTCACTCTGGGAAGGGAAAAAAGGACATTTTTCAGATTGTGTCTGTGGGGAGCAGAAGCTATTAAGAACCAAGTACTTCCCTGCACACAGACACAACACGGGGTGGGGGAAGCAGTTGGCTCCATCGAGAAACAGAACCCCCATTTCTAGCTGCAAACGGAGAATGACAGGAGGAGGAACTTTCTGGGGTCACCCCCCGCCTGACTCTGTGAAAATAGTTTGACAAGGTTGACTAACGTGTCCTGTGACTTGCACCCACAGGGACATCCATGGAATAGAATTAGAATGAAGAACGCCAAGTGTTTCCCTGCAGGGGGGCATCTGCTGGGGCATAGGAACTGAGTTTGTAACGCTTGCTCGGGCTCCACCGTGGCTTCACGCAAGGAAGCATTGCAGATTTAGGTACTGGGCAACCCCCGATCCGGCGCGACACGAGCAGCCTGGCGCTCAGGCTTGCTGCCGCACATGGCACTGCTCCAAGAAGCCAAGTCTGGCTCACGGCTGCCCTGCATTCGCTCAAAATGCCGGAAGCAGCAAACTAGCCTAGCAGGGACCAAGTCCAGAAGCTACAGCACAAGCACAGTGGGGAAAGCATGTGGTGGCAGAGGGCAGAGGCAGGATTTCTGTGCATCCAGGCCAATACCGATCTCCTCCAGGGACGAGCGGGAAGCGACTCGCGGACGTCAGCTCGCCCTGAGCTACGCACCCGGGAGCTCGAGCGCCAGACATCCGTGGATCCACCCCGGCCTGTCAGGACCAGCTGAAGGGCTTCCCCTCCCTCCGCTCGCTGAGCCCCCCTTTTTGACCGGAGACGCCATGGCTTGGACGTGGGGCTTGCGCGCCCGGTGCCAGGAGGGCGGACACGGGGAGAGGAGAAGCCAAAAACCCTGCGCAAGGCGGGTTGGCACACACCCGATGCTCAGTCACTCGGACGGCTTCTCTCCGGCCCACGACAAGGCCTGCCGTGGTGGTTCCATGCCAGTGAGCGGGCTGGGGAGGCGAACGGCGGTCCTGCAGCGCAGCCTGTGCGGGTGGCCGGAATGGGCGTCCATAATCGGAACTGGGAAGTCGCTACCAAGTGTTCTTGCATGCTGACTAATTATTTATATATATATAATCTATCTATATATATAAAGTATATCTCTCTCTCACAAATGCAGGCCCACCATGTTCCATTCAGCTTTGCTTTTTGAAAAATGAAATACATATAATAAACTAATGAATGTTGCAAGGGACTTTTTTTTTAAAAAAATACAGCTATTTAAGATTTTTTTTAATTTACAACCTTTTGTGATGTAAAAACTAAGATACGGTTAGATGAAACATATATGCTACAGATAAATTTCTATTAGGATCCACGTTAGATAAAAGGCAGTGTGGCCTTTTTTGTTTTTTAAAGCTTTGTTACAATAGTATGGACATTTTATTTTACATATCAGAACATAAAAAAATTACTACCATGAACTGTCTCTTGGGTGACTTTCAATAACAAGCACACGCCTCCTTGGGCACCTTGCTAAGTGAACCTTTACGGAACTGCAAAAAAAATGAAATCCTTCCATTACAGGGATTTTAAGTGTTGGAGCATATTCAGTGCTTTTTCAAAGGGGAATCAATCTGTGGGCCATGGAACAAATGTAAAGAGACATTGCCTTCACCACCAACTAATATAAATGGCCCCAACATACATAAGATTAAGAAGAACTCTTCAGGTCAAACGGCCTATTTATTTTGACTGGTTGGAGCTCCACTTAAAATATGCTGCAATATTCCAAAGGCAACCACATTTTTAGAAGTAAAGGGCTTTTTGCTCTGGAAATGCCTATAGTCTAGTCAACTACAGTAACTGAAAAGTAAGCGGTTAAAATCAAAGTTTGCTGTATTTAATGGCCCAGTAGAGAGACATTCCCTAATTGAATAAATTCCTTCTGTTCTTGTTGTATTCTATGAGGGTGGAATCAAGTTGTGAAATGTGCATTTTAATCAGAGTATTGACCAACTAAAATATTAACAGTACTGGGGGAGGGAGTGAATTGTTTTAGGTATTTTGCTGTTTGGCTATTACGTGGGTAGAAAGGAAGGCAAAAACGTACAAGACGACTTTTCCTCCTAACAATGGATCCAGAACTGGGGCATGCTTAACTTAGTCTCACCAAAATTAATAAAAGTTTGCCTGCTCGTTAGTTCTTCTTTCCCCCTTCATGTGAACGGATCTTCCCTGGGCATGGCATGGGCTAAGTCCAACCCAGTGAGTGGAAGCTCTAAGCTCTCATTCAGGCAGCGCAAACATGCAACTTGATTTAAATTTAAATTTTACCTGCTCATTGGCTAAAGGCATCTGGTGATTCAATCTGGCCAACGGCATGTCTTAAGTGCCTGCCATGGGTGGCTACCACCATTGTGTAAAAGCGCTTTAAGTGGCTTCTGCCTTATTTCTGCATATACATAGTTTTCCATTCAAGGCCTCTAGGTGAGTAAAAGCAATTTTATTTGAGAGAGGGCCTCGTCTTGTGCGAAATTTATATTCTCAACTCTGGACTTTTTCTTGTCGGCATGTTACCCCCATTTACTCATTTCCTTTGGGTTCATTGGCACTTCTACCAATACAGGATTTGGCCCACTCTCTGTATAGGACAAATGTTATAGCAGATTTCTGAAGACCTATACGTCATGCTAAAATATTCCAGAAATTAAAGAAACAAAACTTAATCCATGGGCACCCCCCCCCTCCTGAAACAGATGGATTTGCTAGCATTGACAATCCTGGAGTTTGGGGCAAGCCAACATCTGGAATAAGAAAGGGTGCTTTTTGGCAAGGATATTTTCTTAGGAAGGAGGAGGGGGGAATCTACGTTCTGGAAAATATGGGCCGCTCCACATTACTTTTATTATGTCATTAAATAAGTCTTATAGCAGCTTGTAGTGAAAGAATGTCTCTTTTGAAGGGAAGAGCCTCCCCCAGGAGTGGGGGAAGGCGGGACGCTCTGGAAAGTGGAAAAGCCAATCCGGAGCCCCCGGCCTTATCTGGGCAGGAAGCGCGGGGCTCTTCACAGCTCCACCCCAGGGGCATTTCTAGTGGGGCATTTATTGTTCTTGGGCTGGAACCAGATGGAATTCGCCACAAGAGCCCGCATTTGTCGAGAGAGAGGCATCTTTGGTCAAGACACCTGGAACAATGACCTCAGTGCTACCAAGTCCAACAGAAACAAGTGGACGTTTTCCAGTTCAACATGGCTGCTTCTTGCTCCGAAGGAGGACGGCTTAAACTGGGATGAGGAGGCTAATTAAAATGAAGGTCAAAGGGGGAGGCTTGCTGGCCAAATCGCTGCAAAGGGCTTAGAGGTCACTGGAAACTATTCCAGCGCCAGGTGCTCTGCAGGATAGAGATGGCTTTTGTGTCTGTGAAACGACGCAGTGGGTTGCCATTAGAAGAACCGAATTGGCAGCACTCACCTTAGTGCGTCCTGGGCAGGCGTCCCGGTGCAGGCTGCCGCCTTCACGGTGGGGCAAAGCGTTCTGTGTGCGTGTGGCTGCAGGAGCCAGCCCGATGTCTTGCAAAGTGGTTGCGGGATCCAGGCCGAGGTCTGCAAAGCAATCAACGGAAGTGCATTTAATTGATTGTTAACAAATCACTATTAAGGCATCAGGGTGGCACGTGGGATTCTTCCCAGGACACTGTATATTCACAATGGCCCTTTGATTTAAACTTAGGCTGAGAAATAGCGACCGGCCTAAGCTTGCCCCGGGCATTTCTCAAGACAGCAAAGGGGGCGGGTGGGAGTTGCCCCCATCCCGTCTGGTAATGAAGCAGATGCCAAGTGCCTTCTGAAGGTGGCCCTGCGGCTCTTCTGGCCTGCAACTCCCATCAGTCCCAGCCAGCAGAGGTACTAGGATGGTGGACGCTGCAGGCCAAAACATCTGAAAGGTCACAGGTGGCTCACCTTGGGACTAAAGAAATGTGCCATCTGTTCTGCACGCCCAGGAGAAAGCACTTTTGGGGTTTAACATCCCTTCTCAGAATATTTTAACAGTTAGCTGAGCTTCTTCCTATCATTAGGGAGTTGATCTCCACTGATGAATGCAGCAAAATACCTTTATTTTTAAAGTTTCTGTACTACTCTGCTCTTGCCTGCATGATAATACCAAGACCAAGATAATACCAAGTGGTTGGCAGTCTCCTCCGAAATACTACAACGGCCTTTACCGGGAAGAGCAACAGTCCCCGAACTTGTGGTAGCTGAAATGTCACTCCGTCGAGCTGGCCAATTCACAGCTTGTGCTTTAACTTGACCTTTAGGTGCATAAAATGACTGTCAAGGTACCACCAGGAAGAGAATTCCAGACACCTGGGCCGTGACAATCTGTCCCAAGAAAGAGGACTGCTCCTGCTTAGCTCCAACAAAATGGGAACGTTCCTCTAGGACACCATCCCATCAGGCAGGGGCAGACAACACCCACCTTCCAGGGATTGCGGGACTACAGTTGCTAACCTCGCCCATCACTGGCCCTGCTGGGTTGGGCTGATGGGAACTGAAGTCCAACAACTCCTGGGGGGGCACAGATGGCTCGACTACGGGACAAACGCCCCTCAGGTGTTTGCCTGGTGCCTACCTTGTTATCTGTCCAGCACCAGGCAAAGACCATCCTGATCGACACAGATCAGAGGCCACGCTCTAGAGGATTGTGAATGGTTTTTATTGATTCCTGTGCTATTTGTTGGATTTTATTA